AGAGTAGAATGAGAGAGGAAATGAAGTGAGGGCCCCGGTAAATGCTTTGATTCTTTAAGCTAACACAAATGAGGGATTGACTTCTCTAGAGAGCCAAACAGTTCTCCTCCCTCTCTCCCTCTCTTCCTCCTCTCCACCACCACCTTACCTCCTCACGTGGTGTTTGTGATTTCTATGTGCAGACGGTTTGAGCTACTGATGCGACTAGATGGTTACGTCATTCGGATTTGCGTATTTTTTTTCTGGTTTTATGCAGTAACATATGTAAAATACACATAATTGTGACTGTGTCTTCATGTTGAACGGTCTGTGGTAATTGTGGACAAATGTAGAGGATCTGATGAAATCATAACCAGGCGCTCCACTATTCAAAGTGCCAGTTCTCACATAAGTGGCTATGGCGTTTCCAAGACAAGACGACTCATTACCGTAGTCTTGAAGAGATAAGGTTGACATAGGATTAAAATAATGGAACGCCAAGGGGTGTAATCAGCAACAAAGAATGAGGTGGGCGTTGTAGGTCACTTAAATGTGCACCAGATGGCGTATCAGGTCACAGGTGCAAAGTGTCACGAAGGGAGTGAATTAGAAATAACCAGTAAGTCTGCCGCAATGTAAAGGGATTAGCGAGACGTATTTAAGCTGCGTTTAAAAATTTGCCAGACCAAAAAAAATTTCAATTTTTTATTCTGCCAGTTGTTTTCCAATGCAGAGATAAATTCAAAAAAACCTTCTTTTGGATGCCCCAATTATACAGTTCAAGAGGCATCAATGACATTCTAAACATTAAATTACATTAAGTTAACTGTAGTTTTTACTAACCGTTATCAAAACATATTTTCAAGTAAATTTTCAAACCTTATGCCTCTGTTAAATTGTCATCCTCAAGGTCATCGACTACATCTTAGTATATTGTCTGTCGACGTAATAACATCATGGTTTTGGCTGGGAAGGCTCGAGTTGCTTATAAGAAAGGAAATTTGTCGCACATTGGCCCTTAATTGTTAGTACTGACGGTCCTGAGCATAAATGGATAGGGGTGTGTCTAGTTCTTTTTTCACATCATTTGACATGCTTCGGGGGATTACTCAAGATCACCTAATTTGAAAGTGGGAGTTGCTACTACCCCGCACTTTGTTTAGACGAGAATGGGTTTCAGCTCGTCAGTTGTTATCGTTTTAGAGTGTCCAATGCACATCGTTTGGTGGAGACCTCGCTATTGCTCTCCTTCGTAAAGTCTTTTCACAAGTACATGGTAACGGTTGGAATATCCAAGTTGTTCTAGCACCTATGGTGCTAGAATCTATCGTACTCATCGGGCTGGACTTGGACACAGCCACAGTATCCTGTGGAAGGGCAATTGAGTATGATTTTCTGTATCGATGAACTGAATCGCATCTTGTACAGAAGACGCGATTGGAACAAACAAGCTGGTAGGGGATACTTTTTCGGATTGGTGTTGGCACGGGTGGTGGGTGGTTGGAAACTTTGGATTTTACCACGGAAAATGGAAGCGAATGAACACGTGAAGTAGCATACCAGCTTTGTCCTCTCCAAGTTAGCAAATGACCTGCCTGCATTTCGCCGAGACTGTGGTGATGTCGAAGTGCATTTAGTGATCAGTTTTCGCCGATGAATCTCCACTAAAACCGTTGGAGGCCTGCAAAGTGCAATGCGGTGCTGCGCAGTGATTCCTACGATCGTGACGTCGTCGTGGGTAGGGAGGATCAGTCGTCAGCGTGAGTGAAGAGTGTGGATATATGGATGGGGAACCCTACCAAATTATAAGTTCTTGTAATTACAAATGTATTTGTTGGTGAAGAAGCACCTACTTATATATACGCATAATTTCCTGTTTTTTTGTTTATCTACTCTGACAAGGTGTTTCTCCTCACTGTTAGATGCAGTCTTTTGTGATTGTAGCAGGTAGTGCCGATTGGATGGGATGCGCACGATAGAAATGCCACTTGTATGGCTTAAGAGTAACCATACCTTCGTTTGATCTGCATTTTACTCTTAACTTTTGGTTTCTGGTGTGATCTGTTTGTTCGTGTGAATCTTGAATGAGCGGTTATGCTGCTGCTCCCACTGCGGCTACTAGTTGTGTTTGGGTCCCTTCACTCAGCACTGGTGGGCATTAGATATTGACAGGCCAGATTTTCTGTGCTCATTGACATCTAATCATGCCATTGACTGGATTTACCCACTTTTGTGATAGACTGTACCCCTTGTTTTCGTTTTCCATTGAAAATAAAAACTGGCGCGTGATCGCCCGTTGCTTGTATTGTTGTCCTAACAAACCGAGAAAGGTTATGTGCAGCAGGTTTTGATGCGTATACTTGGAGGTTTTAAAGAATTATGATTGGGACAAGCTATTGAAGCGTGCATTTGAAAGTATCCTGGAGCTTGCATTACTGGACTGACCATGCTGGATGTAGACGGAGTCTGATGTAGCAGTCTGCGTCATGAGTCGCATGACTACTTGCAATGAGACAATTTTTAACTCCAAATCATTTTTGTCTCCTACTAATTCGAAATAGTAGCTGGTGCTCTCTAACTGATCCACTCTTAGTTGGAAAGTTAATCGCTACTGTTCTGCTTCTTCCCATTATTTTTCCGATTTGAGAAATGCTTTCTTCTTCCTCTTGGTGAAATTTAT